ATTGAAAATTGACAGATCCATGAATTCCTTGAATATTCTTTTAAATTCACACGCCATGGAAAAGCCATGAAAATGTGGGAAAAATCTCATGATTGAATTCCCCGAATTAAATTTCAAACGAATCCCACCGCCAACAGTAAATATTAATTCCACTGTTCCCTAAAATCGATAGATGACTGGAAAATTCCTCCGAATTCATCGGGGAACATGAATAATTTTTATTTGCAACGGAGATCCCTAGGGAATCGCTAGAATAAAAATTTCTCTCAGGCGATTGAATTCTCTATGAGTAACTGCCTCCGAGCGTCTAATTTCCATTTCATCGCTCATCATTTCGTCATTCAGAGCTTTCCGATTTTTTAGTTTATCCTCCAATTATTTGGGAGAATCTCTGGAATTATTCGTATTTGAACGAATTTTATTGGCAATTGATTTGTTAATCTTTATTTACTCGCAATTATGAGAAACTCGCAATTATGAGAAACTCGGGATTATGAATGCGAATATTTATGCCGTTATCGTCGGGCAAAATTAAATTGGGTATGATATCTAAAATGACATTAAATCAATTGTCTTTTACTCACGAGTCATCAAGTCCAATGGAGTTGATGAGATCTTCATAAAATTATTTTCTTCATTGGAACGGACATTTTGAGTGGAATTTATGTGATCAAATCACGTCAGCTTTGAGTCATTTATTTAGGAGACCCTTAACCCTTTGGGCCCCAATATTGGGAATTATTATCCTTAACCTTCAGGTTTCAGAAAATAAAGATTCATTTGAAAGACAAATCAATCGCGATTTAGCGGGAATTTTTACAAACATTTTCATGGGTTTTCCGGGCCGCGCATTGAACATCAGTAAATCCAGGGAATCCCCAGTTTAATCAACGCGGAATTCTCAATATCAAATGCAATTCAAGTTCTAGTGTCTAGATTGAGAATTGAGGGAAATTAATGCCTGAATATTCACGATTTGTATGGGTTTTCCGTGCACGGAGAGAAATGTTTAGTAAAAATTACGGAACTTTCAGTTCACTTACTGATTACGGAGTTGATTCGAAAAATTAAAATGATGGTATCGTTATTTTTCACCGATAATTCAGATAAAAATTACGGAACACTGGAAAAATTTCCGTGAAAATTTTCCGAATTACGGAAAATACACGTAATTTTTATTGAATATTTCCCTCAGTGTGGGCTGGACCTGAAAATTGGAAATTCCGGGGAGTGAAGGGATTGGTCAACGCGGAATTCCCCAGAAATTTTCACGGTTTTTTCCTTTAAAATTCCCAGAATTAAATTCTGATAGCGGTGGTATATGTATATATATCTCTGGATTTATAGGGAAGGCGTAAAAATGCTGAAAATATAATTGAGTCTTGCTTTGATGGGGCCCCGGGAGATTGTCGAGATAATGGATGAGAATTAAGGTGAATGGGTGGAAGAGGGAGAGATGTACCATGAGGAAATGAAAGATAAGAGACAGATTTGCTCTCGAGATGATCCGCGTCACTTAGTGTATTGTAGGATTTTGTTCACTCGCAGGATAAAAAAAAAATATAATTCTCCCTCTGGACAAATTATTCCTATTAGTTCCATGTTTATTCATAAATTTCAATCTAATAACAAAAAACAATTAAACATTAATTTCATTGAAATACCAAAAATTTTCAGTTTTTTTTTCAATTTTTTTAAAAATAATAATAATAATTGTTATTATCTCGGGATTATTTATGACAATTTTTATTGTTTTTATATGGATTGCGTAATTATGAAGCATTGGCTTTTTTTATTTCCATTTAATTATTTAATGAAAATTCAATAATTTTTTAATTTTATGTGGATTTTAATATTTTTTCAATTCGATAAATTTTGGAAATTTTAATGATGAGAAATTTTTCATTTAAATTTTTAATTGCGAAATAATTAATCCAGAGTTTGAGATTTTTTTTAGAGATTCTAGAAAAATTACAAGATTTTCCACAACAATAATTTATTCACTGGCAATTATATTTCGACTCACTAACCTAATCATTAATTAAACAAATAAAATATTTGATTTTCACCGTATCATTTCCATGAATTTTCTTTAAGAAATAAAAAAAATAGGGGAATTCCCCCGGATTGTGGGGAATTGTCGCGTGATTTTTCCGAAAGTTTTTCCTCCGCCATTTATTCCACCAATAGTTGTTAAACCAGAGAGTAATTTCAGGGTAAATCCTCTCGGAAAATTCAATGATAATATTTCTCACTCACCGCCGACAATATCGTTCCATTTACTGCGTCTTATCAATTTAAATTCCAAATAGTTCGGGCAGTTTTCCAATTAATGTGATACAACCAACGGCAATTGTTGTAATATTTGATGATTTTTATGTTGTATCCAAAATGTTGCATCACGGTTCACTTAGTTTAGCACTGGGTTAACAGATGATAAATGATACTAGAGGCTCCGGTTATAATGCCGTGATATAAATAAAAGCCCCATGGCTTCTTGTTAAATTAGACGTGCAAATTCACTCTGGGGGATGCATTTCCACTTGTATATTCCATATTTCCACAGAAAAATATTCACTTTCATCTCATTCATCTGTCAATTTGATTTAATCTCGTTGATTTATCTTATCCGGTACTTTAACGTCATTAATTAACAAATCACCATGTTTTCCATTTATTTTGCAACTAGGGAATTTCACATTGAAATCTTATTTATTTATTAAAATTCATATTGGCTTTTTCAAGTTGAGTCATTGGTAATTAAATAATTTGTCATATTTTATTAGTATTGGTGATTAAATAAATAATTTTTTTATTGTTAATTGAAATTGCGGTGGGAATTGTTTTCAATTGAGTAATTGTTGATTAATTAATTCTGTCGCGCTTTTTTTTTAAACACTCACAATGAAAAATTCACTCTGGCACTATTTATCTTCGTTAATTCGGGAGTCGGTAGAAATGACGAGATATTTCATTGTCAGAATAAAAAATCTGGTGATTCACGCGTTGCAGAAAAAATGGAAAAAACGAATTATGAATTTGGATTTTTGACGATGAAAATTGGGGGTTAAAAATAAAAAGTTATTGAAATACTTAATCCCTTTAGAATTATTGACAAAAATTTTTTAAAATTTTACAACTTTTACAATTGAAAAACAAATTATTTACCACTTTGTCTCACAGAACAATAATTTTTGCAATAATTACATTGGGATTATTTATAAAAATGATTATTCACTTTAATATTTTCCAAAAGTTTCTCAAACTTCACAATAAAAATTTGTCCACTCTCCAGAAAAGAAAAACAATAAATGAGAATTGAAATAATTTATTTAAAAAAAAATCATTTGCTGTGATAAAAACAATAATTAGTGAAATAGGGACTTGGGAATGATTTATAAAAATTGGTGTTTAAAAATATTCAATCCGAAGATTTTGGGATCGCGAAATCGGCGCGGATGACGAGATCATGTGGTTGCGCTGTTAAAGCAGACTGAACTCCACCGACAGTCAGGGTGTCAGCAATCACCCTGGCACTCATCTCCGCCTGCGCACACTCTCAACATTTTCTATTTACACATATTCCCGTCGCTTTCTTACATTTTCTATTTCATTTGCATTTCCACTTTCATGTTTACACACGCATTCGATCGTTAATTAATTATTAAATTTCATTGGCGTTTGTATTATCGAGAATCGAGATCAAGTGATTTATCATTCTTATTGAAAGAATCGAAGAAAATTACTTTATCCGGGATTTTTCATCACCAATCGATATATCGAGTATTCGATTATCGATATACATCGATAATTATCGATGCATCGAATTACCATTAAATGCGAGATTATTATGATTATTGTTACGATTATGGCGTGGTATGTGTTGATGTATATATCGATGATTGTATAATCGATGTATCGAATCGATATTGTCGATATATCGATTTTTTATGCGTTCGATCTTGAGGAATATTGCCGATTATTTCCGATGAATTCCATTTGTTTCCAATTTCCATTGTTGAAGTGGCATTGCATTGAAATTTATAATTAGCTTAATTGGCCGATTGGAACCTTTGAAAAGTGAATTTTTACTTTCTGTTCTGGATAATTTTTATTGGATTGTCGTTCTCGCGACGATTTAATGTGGAAAAGCCGAAAAGTTACGGCGACGAGAAAAACCTTGAGCTGGGGGATAATTGGGTGTGGGCTGGTGCCAGCCAAGAAAACCGATTTTCAAGTAAAACTCGGGCATTAAGAAGTTTCTTCTGGTTGTTCAACTTTTACAACACAAAGACCATGTTGAATTATTCTTTTGTTAAACGAGATAATTTCCATGTCGTTATCTGCTCTGTACTGTGATATAAATAAGATGAGAATGAGAATTCCGGTGAATAGAGGGTTTTAGTGGGATGAAAATTTATGCATGGGTAATGCCAAAAATTCCCATATGCCAGAGATACATTTTTCCAATTATCCATTTCTGGTTGAAGAGTTGAAGGGGTAATTTTCCGCGAAAAATTACATATTCAAGAGTAAGTTGGAATTAATAAAAGAGCGAATAGAGGAGTTTATCGGATTAATTCAGACGGGTGGAAAAATTCTGTTGTAATTCGTAGGATGGAAACCAGAGTAAATGAAAATAGAAGAAAAACATCAAACCGGAAGTCAGAAATTTTTAGCGCGGAAGTGATGCTATTTTTTTCGAGTCACTCATTTTCTTCACCAAAAATTGTCATTCTTTAATCTAAGGTGACGTCATTTTTCAACCGGAAGTGGCGTCATTTTTCAACCGGAAGTGATATCATTTTTCAACCGGAAGTGATGTCATTTTGTCAACCGGAAATGACGTCATTTTTTCAACCGGAAATGACGTCATTTTTCAACCGGAAGTGACGTCATTTTCAAACCGGAAGTCGCCAATTTTTTCACCGGAAATGCCGTAATTTTTTTTTAGATAAAAAAAAATATTTCTCAAATCATAAAAAAGAATTCTTCAATCTAAACAACTCTTTTATAACATTCAATTTTTTTTTTTCGGCATTAAGAGACTTTTTTTCTCTGTGTTCGACAATCCATGAATTAGAAGAAAAATTCCATTCTCTCCAAGATTTACAGATAACGAGTTATGTAAATATTTTCCCCTCTGTTCATCCCTTGGTATTAATATATGTTAAAGCCAGAGCGTTGGTATTATCTCTGCAACATAAAGTCCATAATTTTTCACGTCGAGTGGAAGCTGAAAATTCCATATCGATCTGGGGAAAAAAACAATTGGAGGCATTCCATTCTATTCCACTTGAATTGCGAATGAAAAAAATTCAATTCAACAAGAGAATTAACCGACGATATAATTCTCTCTGGTTTATGATAAATTTATCCGTCATCGCGAGAGGAGAAAAGTTGGGCAATTAACATTCGGGAATGGGAGAAACTTCTCGGTGGAATAAGGTTTAATAAATTCGGTAAAACTTGGTGTACACCAGAGAAAAACAGGGAAAACATGAATATTAATGTACACAGAGAAAATCAAGGACTGACAAATTTCATTCGGCAAACAATTTATTTATTTTTGCTTTAAAAATCGTGGAAATTGATTCGAAAAATTTCACAACGCTATAAAAAAAATTTCGTAAGTTCCTGATTAGGTTCTGATGATAATCATCATGTTGCTCTAGAGGATGATAATGTGGGACATGTCCTGAGATAAATTCCACTGATTATTATTCATTTTCTGTAGATACCGAATTTTTGAAGGAGAAGAAAGTGAAGGTAATCTTTAATATTGATAATTATTGGTCGAGTTTATTCAAGGTCATGACCAACATACTCATCCTCTAGAGCAATATGATTATTATTATTAACACATAGTCGAGATCACCTGGAGGTGCCTCACCTGGAGAAATTATATTTTTATGAAAATACTCAACACTGTAAGAATTTCAATGAAATTTCCGTCGCAAATTCCTCTCAATTTTCATTTAACCGAATTTTTATTGAATTTCAATTAACCACAATTACCATATTTATTATTCATTCTGGAAATTCAAGAAAATTGCATTTTTCATCTTGAATGATAATCAATTTTTCAAATCTTCAAATTCATTCTAAAAATGAAACATCAAATACAACGAATCTTATAATAAATTATTACAATTAAATTTTTAGTTTAGTACTCAAAAGATCATTTCAATTTCATACTAATTTTGAAAGTTATCTCTGACGAGAGACAGATGTGCGGATATCTGAGTCAATCAGCTGATCTCTGGGTTAATTCCTCCAAAATCCTAACATATATCGCACGTTTGCTCGTTTTAACATCAATGCCCAACACTCATGGGAATTGAATTCACAGTTCCAATTACTGTTGATGTATCTGCTGATCTAGATTATCCAAGCTCAGGGGCTTAATGATTATTCGATTCATGGTCATCATCAGAATTGGTGCGAATCTATTATTGCGTATTTACTTAATTATTTCTTCAATATCTTTCGATTCCATTATTCTTTCAATTCTTCACTTATCTGTCTTCTTATTTATTCATTTCCCCAATTTTTTCAATCGTTCTATAAATTTATTCATCAATTTTTATTTAAAATTCAAGAGTTCATGGAATAATTGCAGATTTTATTACAATTTTATCACATTTACTCCCCGTTTATTAAATAATTATTCCACAAAATTGAACTTTCAATTTTCTTCACAATATCAGCGTCTATTATTTATAATAATTGTTCATTAATCCATTGATTTACATTCGTCTTTCTCAACAATTGATCAATTTTTCCCCAGATTATTGCAAAATGATAATTACTCTGGATTTTTTATTTATGTTCTTCGATCGAATTAATTTTTATTATCAGATAAAAATTATTGTTATCAGTGGATTAAATACTTTTTTTAATCATTATTATTTATTTTATGGGATATTAGTTCTTGGTGAATTTATGAAAGACTTGGTCTAGTTGGTAATTTCAGTCCATCACATCTTGAGTGGAGCGTCGTGTGTCCATTACGCCCTTTATTAACCATGACCGCTATTAACGAAAATTACTATCAAGTGTTCATAAATGGGCTGCATGTCGCTCATGTGAAAAATTCTACCTCAAATGTACGCCATGTGGTTGAATTAATATTAATATCAGGTCGAGGGACCAGAACTTGAGACTCCACCTGCAGAAAATAATTCATAGATTATTCCATACTGAGTAAAAAATTTAGTTAATTAAAAAAAGAGATTTTAAACTAACAAATGAAGTTGCTGAATAGTTACAGATAATTGTGCTAAATATTGAGTTGAATAAATTTGAAAAAAAAAAAAATGGAAAAAAGATTTTGCACTTTTCCTGAAAAATAATGATTTATTATATAATTATTATTATTAATTACAAATATTATTAAAAATATTATATATATATTATAAGAATTCTTTTAAACTGAGAGAAAAAAATAATGAAAAAATCTTTCGTCCCTCGAGATATTCTGAAAATTTTTTTATAATTTTTTTAGTTATAGACTTAATAGTATAATTGTTAAAGTGTATAATTTTTCAATTGGATAATGGATAAAATAATGTTGCAGGATTTTCTTGAAGGAGCAGAGATGGAAAATGGAATGCTCGAGTTGTGAGAGGACGACCCATCAACGCAGGATCACGAATTGGAGATTATTCAGGATAATACAAGGTAATAACAGGAATAGCACAGCTGGGAATGTATCGAGAGTTGGTGTACAATCGATAAGAGAATTCATGTCGTTGGCTTTGCTGTATCGAGGGCTCTTTATTCTCCACCCACATTTGCCATTAGCACATGAGACTTGGGTGTAGCATCAAGAGATAAAGGTCAGAAATCTAGAGCAGAAAATATATTTTTTATCGATCTCTCCCAGTTGTTGCATAATCATTTGTTTACATTGACAAAAAATAATTATTGAAAGAAATTTTGTTGATTTTTCAATTAACGAGTTTCCGATTCATTGGGAATTGCCAATTGGTGGAAAATTCAGGGAAATTATTGCCTGAATTTTTCACTCTCACGATTTTCCAGTGTCATATGACATAATTAATAAATAATTCGTCAATAAAGAAATCAGCAGAAATTTCATGTAAAAAATTTCAAGTTTTCCACTTGAAACTTCAAGTTTCTAATTTTCCCACATTTTCCGGCAGTCAATGAATCCTTGGCAAAGATTTTTTTTTCGCAATCTGTAATAAATCTAGAATGAAAATAAGTTGAACTATTGTTCATAGTTAATATTCGTTGTGATCTGACTAGGCGTCTGTTAGTGATAAAAAATGATTAGATGACTCAGTATTAGCGGTATTAACCCCCTCGGTAATATGATAATCATCAATACGGTTTAATTGGACTAGGAGGAATTGAGCCCTAAGTCACATTGAATGAAAATAAACGGTCGTGTAAGTCTCTCACTTAATTTTATGCAATTCAGCTAGTCATTCGGGCGATGTACAATCGAAATCTCTGTCTAGTTCACGTTCTGAAGAGGTTAGACTATTCTTGGGTGATTTCTTTATTCCAGTTTCGTTCCATTACTCAGTATTGCACATGGGAGTTCCCTCCAATATCAATTCGATTCGTGAATAAAACATATCCTCGTTTGAATTCACCTCGACTCTTTCCTCCATGGGCATTTCCCATTCTTCGTGGATTAAAATACGAAGGTCGAGACACGAGTTCATTGATTTGTTCAAAAGTCTTCAATCAGACATGTTCTCTAATTTTTTTTTCTCGACCTTCCGGTGCCTTTTTCTCTGACTCGTGATCTCTTGGTCTACGATTTTTCGAACCAAGATCGATTACTAATCGATAACTATCGATTGTTCGAAGATCGATACTCGATGTACACAGTCGATTTTTTTGCGGGTCGATCAGTCGACCGAATTCTTTTATTTATTTTCTTTTTTTAATAAACGAAAGACCGTTTTTGGAAAGAGTGAGGAGAAAAATCGAAAAAGATCGACTCTCCAGTAATCGATATATGATATATCGATATTGTGAGGATCGATTCGATTCGAATAATCGATATTTTTATGGTCGAAAAATAAGTACTAGGGAATTAAACATGAGATGACAAACGATTGATTATCAGACATCTGTTTTGTCTGGGAAATGTTCGAGATGATGGAGAGGACAAACGAAATCACTCAAATGTCCAATTCAGGGCGATAAAAAGGTGTTGAATAAGAAATAAGAAATAAAAAAGTTGAAAAAGAAAAAAGCAGAAAATGGTAGTGACGCGTTGGTAGAAATTGGATCAATTCATCTCGACAAAGTTTTTAGAAGTTTCAGCAGTATTTTGTTGCTGAGATTAGCGCGGTTGAAGTTTCAAGTGGATAATTCCAGAATGTACAACGTAAATGGACAACAAATGGCACTCTGTTGGAATGATGCCCAGTGTTGTTAGTAACAACTTTGTAAAGAGCAAATTAATTAATTGTCGTAGGGGAATTTTCAGGCTAGTTGATATGCATTAGGTTCGGTCCGGTGAATCTCCGCATTACGACAGCAGTTTACTAGATTTTTGGACGGCCCATTTGAATTTTGTCAAGGATTCATTTACTTGAGACGTATATATTTTCTTAAACTATTTTTTTTCTGCATTTGAGTCATTTTCGGTCGAGTTTATTCAAGGTTATAACCAACATAATCAGTCTCTAGAGCAATATGATTATCGTTATTAACACCTAGTCAAGATCACCGGGGGGTGGCTCACCTGGAGAAATTTTATTTTTATGAAAATACATACTCCTCTCAGTACTGTTAGAAATTTATTGAAATTTCCGTCACAAAGTCATCTCAATTTTCAATTAGCCGAATTTTTATGAAATTTCAATTAAAAACAATTACCAAATTTATTATTCATCCTGGAAATCAAGAATCGCCGGAATATTCATGAAATTAATTAATTCGTCAATGAAAAATTCTCGATAAATTTTTTTCATTTTTTAAACATCTCAAGTATAATTTTTAAAAATAAATCTATAGTTTGTAAATTCCCACCGATTTCGTATTCTCATTGGGAATTCCGTGCAGTGGATCTGAATTCATCATGGTGAATGACAACATTATTCTCATGATACCACTTCTAGAAATGAGAGAATGAAAAGACTAGCTTTTCTATTTTTCCGGTGATAACTCTGTCGCAACGATAATACCACTATGACATTAAGTTATTAATCTCGGTCTGGTTATGACTAGCTGTCTCTTCTCAGATCACAGAGTAGCTTGAACGAGCCTTCAATATCCCTTATTCGAGGTATAGGATATAGCGACAGCTAATGGATCGTTGGGGATAATTTATGGGGACATGCCATAAGTGAATTATTAGCATCGTCACGTGATCGATGAGATCCTATCCAGCCAGGGCTCAAGTGTCCTCTGAATAATTTTTTTACTGCCGTTTTGGGTGCAATAAATTATTAGCAACTTTCGTCGGATGCTAAAGTCACAAGATCCCACCCATTATGTATCAAAAAAAATTTATGTCTCGTATATTTTACGATTTCCCTTTCATTTCGGCAATTGAAAATATAAAAGGTCAATAATTATCGAATAAAGTAGCTCATTGGCTTCATTAGGTGCAGGATTTGGTCATTTAGAGGTTAAATCCGGGAATTCTCACCACCTCGCGTTTTCAAAAGGTTGTAATAATTTATTGGCGCAAGTTTGATCTCTGAAAAATCGTTTGTGCATTCTGCAGATGTGAATTTAGTTATACAAATTTTTATGATTTTTTTTATCACTGATTTTCGGTGTTCTCGTAAAAAAGGGAGTGGAGCATTTTGTATTCGCAAGTTTGTTCGGTCATTTTGATGGTGATTATTATTATTATTATCATTTCCATTGATGATAATAATTATTATTTAATTCTTCGTTCAACTTTTAGAAATAATTTAATAAGAATATCGACATAGTCAAACTTTTTTGGGGTTATGATGAGAAAAAACTAAAAAACGGTGGAAATTCCTTGATTATGCGACCACTTAACTGCCGAAATGCATTTCTCTCCCCGATTTTCCGAAAATTGATCCTGAATTGGTGATAAACGAGCCACAGATTTTCACTGGGTAAAACCCAAGTTCCCATTCACTACGAGATCTCTTCATTCTTATCTCTCGTACTATTACAGTTGCCCGAGACGTTATAGCGCAGACGAGGTAAAATCTTGTGTGCAATTTACTGGATATACTTGTGAAAGTCACTCCCACAATTGCAGAACGGTGAAATGGTCTTTGTACACGGTATAGTCTCGAGATCGATTTGATTTTCTCGTTGGGATCGAATACCTCGGGGAATATGAAGTATAACTCATTGCCAGATGACGACATTATGGGGGGATTTTCACTCGGTCCAAGTCGCCATTTAATTAAGGGACATGTGTCGGGTTTTGGGGTTAATTAAGTCGCCGCATTTCTCAATGCTCTTGATGACCTTAACCTCAAATTTAATTCTATCGTTTTTTTTCTCTTGTTTTCTCCCCCCGTTGGATTTTTTATTTTTGATTCCTCGGAAAATGGGACGGATTTTGGATTGATAGATATTTTCTATTTATTTACTCATTTATTTATTTTTATTTTTATTTTTATATTTTTTTTTAGTGGTTAGGAAATTAAAAAACGTACATGAACAGGTGTATTAAGGGAATAATATATTAAATATCGAAGAAGACATGGAAATTTTTTTAATCGGGTTTATGGAAATCATTGAAGTCCCGTTTTCTCGGGAAATGCTGCAGTCATTTATCATTATTACATTCTTGAGGCGAATTGGAAAGATGAATTAAAGGAGTTGTCATGAAAGATTAGCATTCAATGAATTTGAATTAAAATAAAGTAGTGATAACAATTGGGTCGGAAAAGTGGAGAATTGTAACTCTTAGAAAACGGGTCAATCGGTCTGGAGCCATTTTCTGGAGATGTTCCAGTTAAAATGGCGGGGAAAAACCACTCTCTTCGTTTCCTGTCGGCACACATCGGAAAAAATTGTCCGTTATCACGTGACTTGATTGAGGTTATCAATTCAATTCCATTAATAATTGAAATTTCGTTGTTGAAACCAATAAATTATTTTATTCTTCAATTAATTTTTTCAATTAAAATAAAATTCAATTAAATATTCAAATATTATTGGGTGAAAATTTTTATTAATCAATACTAATAAATATTGTGATACATAAATAAATATAAGTTAACAAAACTAAAAACGAATACAAAAAATCTGGAATGATTAATTTTATAGAAAAGAGAGTAATTAATGATTAATAGTGAAGCGTCGAAAAAATAAGATTTTTTTTTTATTTTTTCAGATGACAAGATGCATATGAATGAAAATGAAATTGACAATTGCCGATGGATTTCTACATGGGAATGTTCAACAAGTTGTCATACTTCGTGTGCTCATCAGGAAAAGCTGATTACCCCATGGAGGGGAATAATTTTAGAATAAATGGGTGAAAGCCCCAGGAGAGAACGAAAGGTCAGAGGAAATCGATAATTAATCGAGTCTGATCCCCGAAAGGGAGAAGCTGATATCGCAAATAAATTCCATATCGCATGTGATCTTGGGTTGAAGAAATCACGCAAGAAAGTATAAATAAAGGAAGAAAATTGAGAGGATCAATGAACCCAATAACATTGTATTTATTGGAAGGCATTATCCATCGGAGGCAATCAAGTTTCATGACTCTTGTTATTTTTCTTCATCCTTTATTACTCCAGAAGATCCCTTTATCTTGGAGACAGCCCTGCGGGTATGATGTTTAATTTTGCAAAATTGTGTTTACACTGAATTCGTGCGGATTGAACCGGAAAATATCGTGAGTTGTCTTTTGTTTTTTTTTTTTTTCTAATTAAAATGATTGCCCATTCAATTGAGAGTTTGTAGCAGTGCCCTTGAAGAAATTGAAAGATCAAGTTCAGTGTTAATTTTTGAAGTTGAGTTTTTTAAAATGCTGAGTGAAGTTTTTTCGTTGATGAAAAAAATTTGGGATAATTGATCATAAAGTGGTGTAATTAAATATTTAAGTGCAAACAGCGTCGGGATCTCGTTAAGTCGACAAGAGGATTCTCAAGTGGAAACTTGATGGGTATAAGGTAATACCGAGTTAGTCCATCTGAGTTAATATCCCTTGAACACTCGAGTCTGTCGCTTCCCGGGAAATTCCGGGAGTTTAGTAATGATACACGATTATCTGATGTATAAATTACTGTTAATTAATCATCGGGACATTGAGAGTGTCTTGTGGGTGGGCAATGGGATTTTCCGTGACAGGACATTTATCAGGGAATAGTTCAATTTAAATATTGATGGAAGAAAATACTTGAGCTGATGTTTCCTCATCTTCGAGGCGAATCATTGTAAAAGAAATTATTCGGTATGGGGATTTGAATGAAAGATTAGTTCGTTGATAAATTAATTAATTTTTCTTCAAATCTTATCGAAATTTGGGACAGGGTAAAATAGATCGTGTGGGTAAATTCCTTTATCTTTATCGACCCTCTGACATGCACTTGACGACTAGAAACTAAGTTAATTACATTTATCTGATTCAGAAAGGGGGGAGAGGAATAATACAAAATAGAAGTGTGGAAAATTGGAGACACAAAAGGGACTCGATGAAGTACTCAGTTCCATCCTGTGTTGTTCGTACATTCCAGGTTTCATTCTCTTTCCCATTTGTTAAACTTCGCTGGAGAGTGTCTCATGTCCTCGGTGCTTTCTTCCTTGTCGTCGTTGGCATTTTTTTTCTTCACTCCAGAAAAGGTGCATTGGTAAATTCGCCGGCGGATTTCACCGGGAGCTGTAATCGATCCAGAGAGGAATTTATACGACAATAATTGGTTGTTCATCAATATTGATAGGCTGGAGAACTTTAATTGTTAATAATTGAAGGCGAACACGAGAGCGGCATTCTGTCTGCCATTTCGAAAGGGATAATTCATAAACACATGACCGGAAATGACGTCATC